TAAGCCTTCAGAAGCTAAAATAGAAGAAGGAAATAGCTCTCCTTTTAACCCTCGGTCTTCTGTCTATTGTCTGTCCTTTGAAAAAAGGAAGGTGGTTTAACTGTCTAGTGCAGTATTTCTTAACCTTCCTAATGCCACGGCCCCTTAATACAGTTCCTCATGTTGTGGTCGTTCTATCTGTCTGTCTGTCTATCTGTCTACCTATCTATCTATCTACCTACCTCCTATTTCTGTCTAATCTATCTGGAGGATTGCTGGGAGTTGCAGTCCAGGAATAGGAAATAGGAGATATGTATGGATTTGGATGCTCTCAAAGAAATCCAAGGAGAAGAAAGCTTGCAGCTTGGAAGCAGTGCATTTGGATCACCCTCCTCTCCTAAAGGGCCTGGTCTAGGGGATGCTGGGAGCTGTAGTCCAGAAGAGAGTGTGGATATGCTATTGTATGTTTTGTTTGCTGGGGGAGACATTTTTGCGCATGCATTGTAGCATCTTTTTGCTTTTTTAGCTTTTTTAATCCCTTCTGCTGTGTTTTTCAGTGTTTTATGAGTGATGGTCACTCATTGGCCTGAGAGGTGTCTTGTATCCAAATTTGGTGTCAAATTGTCAAGTGGTTTTTGAGTTACGTGTGTCCCACAAACAAACATTACATTTTTATTAATACTAGCTATTCCCTGCCACATGTTGCTGTGGCCGTCTGGTGATCTGGAAAATAAAGTAACGAGAAAGTGTTGGTTTCTAATATATGTAATGTCTTTCTGCTTGTGGGTAAACAGTATTTCTTGCTGTTTCTTTGTCAGTGTTGATGTGGAGATTGTCTGGTTTGCCTACTCTGGAACATGCAACATATTATTCTCCTTTCAAATCTATGATATTATATCTGTCATATACATGTCTGTGTGAATCATATATATCTATATCTATGGCTGAATGGCTCTTTGTCAGGAGGGCTTTCATTATGTTTTCTTGCTCTGGTGAAGGGGTTGGAACCCTGGGGGGTTCATGAGGGGGTGTCAGAAGGGTTGCTGAAGACCACCAGAAAATACAGTATTTTTTGTTGGTCATGGGGGTTCGGTGTGGGAGGTTTGGCCGGGGGGGGGGGGCGCCAAAATACTGTTTGCTTACCATTGGAAATTACCTAGGGCCACCTCTGACAGTCAGCCTGGGAGAAGTTAAAAAGGGGAATTTCCTTTAAAGAAGAAGTTATTGAAGACAGTTACCTGTCCTTCGTGGGCAAGATTAGGAATTCACCAGTTGCCTAAAAGCTTGGAATCATTCGTTCATCTTTACTGAAGACAAGAGAAGTTTCTGTTTGATTGTTCATTAATAAAAGATTTTGTTGTACTTCACAAGCCATCTAAAGACTATTTGTGGTGAAAAACCTCTGAGAACTTCTCTTTAGGCCCCCTGGTTTCCTGCTGGACAAAGGTTGCACATCCTGTTCTAAGGACAATTATTTACAGGCCCAGCGCGCGACAGAATAAATAAATACATCACTTCTCAACAAAGAATTCCCCCATGCGGTAAGAACTCACACCTTGAAACTGCTAGGTCATTAAATTCTAAACAAGGTGGCCAATTGAAACATTCACACTTGCCTCCAACAGACAGGAGTTCTTTCTCCCAGCCTGGACTTTCTACAGATATATAAACCCCATTTTCCTAGTTTCCAACAGACCTCACAACCTCTGATGTTGCCTGCCATAGATGCAGGCGAAACGTCAGGAGAGAATGCTTCCAGAACATGGCCATACAGCCTGGAAAACTCACAGCAACCCATTTAGTAAGAAGACTCGATTCGAAGCATCCCTTCAACGTCTTTTGTGTCAGCTAATGGGCGATCCTCCGAAGCATCCTGAGATTCCCACCTTGGATTTGGTTTTCCGCTTTGACGCAATCCTGCGAAGGCAGAAGCAGCCGTGAAATTGTCCCACGGCTTGAGGTGAGCGCATCGCTCATTCGTTGCGCTTTCCCAATGCATTGTCAGTGGGAGGCTTCCCTTCACACCCTCTCCGACGGGATCGTCTTCTGAATGGATCCCTTTCAGTTCCAGGAATGGGGCGCGCACACACCCATCGCTCTGGGCTGCTCCTCTGTCACAACATCCCTTCCGCACAATGCCACAGATCTGCTGCCGTCTGAGGCCAGGAGTTCACTCCTGTGGTGAAATGGGCCATTCGAGGTGCCGTCATCCGACGTGCCCCGGGGCTCTCTGGTTTGCATCATATCTCGAGCATTAAACAAAACTCACACAATGGGGAAGGAGCATTGTGTGTTGGATGAATAAACAACTAATGAAATCAGCTTGGGGAGGAAGCAAAGGTTGGAAAGCTGCCTAGAAGGGCAGCTGAGGTCTTGCAAGAGGGCGACTAAAATGATTAAGGGTCTGGAGAACAAGCCCTATGAGGAGCGGCTTAAAGGGAGAGCGTGCAAGGCAGGAGGGAGGCTCGTGTCAACAAGTTCCTTCTTTCTCTCTCCATTGTTCCGGAATTTGCATGACCCCCCCCCCTCCCACACTAGTTCTCCCATAAGACATGGGATTCTGTGTGCCAAGTTTGGCCCCATTCTATCGTTAGTGAGGTTCAGAATGCTCTTAGATTGTAGATGAACTATAAATCCTAGCAACTACAACTCCCAAATGTCAAGGTCTATTTTCCTCAAACTCCACCAGTGTTCACATTTGAGCATATTGAGAATTCAAACCAGATTTGGTCCAGATCTATCATGATTTGAGTCCACAGTGCTCTCTGGATGTAAGTGAACTACAACTCCCAAACTCAAGCTCAATGCCCACCAAACCCTTCCAGTATGTTCTGTTGGTTGTGGGTGTTCTGTGTGCCAAGTTTGGTTCATTTCCATTGTTGGTAAAGTTCAGAATGCTCTTTGATTGGAGGTAAACTATAAATCCCAGCAACTACAACTCCCAAATGTCAAGGTCTATTTTCCCCAAATCATGGAATCAAATCATAGAATCAAAGAGTTGGAAGAGACCTCATGGGCCATCCAGTCCAACCCCATTCTGCCAAGAAGCAGGAATATTGCATTCAAATCACCCCCAACAGATGGCCATCCAGACTCTGTTTAAAAGCTTCCAAAGAATGAGCCTCCACCACACTCCAGGGCAGAGAGTTCCACTGTTGAACAGCTCTCACAGTCAGGAAGTTCTTCCTCATGTTCAGATGGAATCTCCTTTCTTGTAGTTTGAAGCCATTGTTCCGTGTCCTAGTCTCCAAGGAAGCAGAAAACAAGCTTGCTCCCTCCTCCCTGTGGCTTCCTCTCACATATTTATACATGGCTATCATATCTCCTCTCAGCCTTCTCTTCTTCAGGCTAAACATGCCCAGCTCCTAAAGCTGCTCTTCATAGGGCTTGTTCTCCAGACCCTTGATCACTTTAGTCTCCAAACTCCAACAGTGTTCACATTTGAGTATTCATGCCAAGTTTGGTCCAGATCTATCATTGTTTGAGTCCACAGTGCTCTCTGGATGTAGGTAAACTACAACTCCCAAACTCAAGGGCAATGCCCACCAAACCCTTCTAGTATTTTCTGTTGATTGTGGGTGTTCTTTGTGCCAAGTTTGGTTCAATTCCATCATTGGTGGAGTTCAGAATGCTCTTTGATTGTAGGTGAACTATAAATCCCAGAAATTACAACCCCCAAATGACTAAATCAATCCCCTCCCAACCTCACCAGTATTCAGATTGCGGCATATCAGATTGCGGCGTATTAGGTATTTGTGCCAAATTTGGTCCATTGAATGAAAATACATCCTATTGTCGAAGGCTTTCATGCCCGGAATCACTGGGTTGTTATAGGTTTTTCCGGGCTATATGGCCATGTTCTAGAGGCATTTTCTCCTGACGTAGCTGCTGCCGGGGCTTGCCTCACCAAGCCCCCACTCCTCCATTGAGCCAGGCTTTCTCCTTCCTTCCCTCTTTCCTTCCCTCAATCCCTCCCCTCCCTAAAAGAAAAAAAGATTCTGCCTTCCTGCATGGAAAGGGACTCCATGGCAAGGCTTCTCTTCCCTCACAACGGTTGGTGCTTCATTCTTCTCGCGCAATGGGGAGAGGGGCTTTTGCGCAAGCTCTACAAGGCATTTTTCTTTTTGAGGAGTTTTAAGTTATTTCCCCTTCATTTTTTATGGGGTTTTTTTGTTTGAAAGACATAGATCGGATTAAAATGAATTTTGCTGCCAAAGTTGGTGTCAATTTGTCCAGTGGCTTTTGAGTTATGTTAATCCCACAAACGAACATTACATTTTTATTTATATAGAAGATGAATATGAAATCTACTTCACATCTCTACTCTGATAAAGGTTTTCCCCAACTCAATTCAGCCATGATGTCAAACCACAGTGAGCGAATCACAGGCTAAACATGGTTTGTTTTTAGTATGAAAGCCGGTGTAAGAAGTCAGGGTTTTTGAATACACGGTTTGTGCTGCCTGTGGTTTAGTGCAATGCCTAAATTGACAGGCAGCTGAAGCTCTGGCCCCTGGAGGCGGCTGAACTGCACAAACTGGAGAGAGGAGCAGATGGAAAACGAACACAAACAAGCAGCTGTAAATCATAGTTTGCGGAGAGATAACCAAATGCTGTGTGCATTGGGGGCAAGGGGGATAAACTCAGATATTCCCCAGTGTGAGGAAAGCGAGGTGAGGCTTCGGCTTACTATCGAAAGGCCTGAGGATGCCCCACTCATTTACTTTTTCTATGTAGGAAGGGAGAGGAGATGGTGAAACTAGAAATCCCCTTTTTATGTCCCAGCTTCCATATCCCAGAGCAGGAGTGGATAATGCACAACCTGAGAGGACAAATAAGGCTGGAGATTTCCCTCTTCTGGTCCAAACCGCAAGGATACCCAAATGGTGTGGTACTTGAACTGAACCAAAATACACATTCCCACCATTGGCTGATTTTGAACCCTTCTAAAATGGTGTCTTGGCCTTTGAGGTAGGAGAACCCTGACCCAATCTGCCCTCCTGCACCAATAATTATGCTTACGGTAACGGAAAACGGCACCGTCGATTCCTTCTGACTCGGTGACTTGTATAACGTTGCTAGCCTGGAATGAAGAAAAATTGTATTTCAGTGACATGTATCTCATGTTGAGAAGGTGCATTTTACAGAGTGCGTGATGCATCCCCACAGTGCAGAGGAAAATAAATATTGTTATGTTTCCTTGCTGGTGAGTGGAAGAGCGCACTCCATCAAGGAAACTCACTGCAATGAGCAAAAAGTGCAAAACAACAGCGATATTGTGACGGGATCAATTTTTATTATACAACTAGCTTGGGTCCCCAGCGTTACTTGGGTTATTTGAAAAAGCCCATTTTTAATGGTTAAAAATGCATAAGGTTGTCTTACTTACTTACTTAGGCAATCCCTCGTTGTCCGAGTAGGATTGTCTTCCAAGATCGGTGTCCTGGTAGTGGGTCCGTAGGTGACTGTGGAGCTCAATTCTTGATCTGCATCTTCTCCCGCAGTGAGGGCATCGGTTTCCAGGTGGAAGGCGGTCCTGGTTGGCTTGACACGCCTTCCTCTTGGCACATTTCTCTCTTTCACCCTCCATTCGTGCCTCTTCAAATTCTACAGCACTGCTGGTCACAGCTGACCTCCAGCTGGAGCACTCAAGGGCCAGGGCTTCCCAGTTCTTAGTGTCTATACCAGAGTTTTTAAGGTTGGCTTTGAGCTCATCCTTCAATCTCTTTTCCTGCCCACCAACATTCCGTTTTCCGTTCTTGAGTTCGGAGTAGAGCAACTACTTTGGGAGACTGTGGTTGGGCATCTGGACAACGTGAGTTGATGGCAGAGGACCATCGCTTCAATGCTGGTGGTCTTTGCTTCTTCCAGCATGCTGACATTTGTCTGCTTGTCTTTCCAAGAGATTTGCAGGATTTTCGAGAGGCAGCGCTGATGGAATCGTTCCAGGAGTTGAGTGTGACGTCTGTAGACAGTCCACATCTTGCAGGCGTATAGCAGGGTTGGGAGGACAATAGCTTTATAAACAAGCTCCTTGGTATCCCTACGGATGTCCTGGTCCTCAAACACTTTCTGCTTCATTCGGAAAAAAACTGCACTCGCAGAGCTCTGGCGGTGTTGTATTTCAGTGTCAATGTTGACTTTTGTGGAGAGGTGGCTGCCAAGGTGATCAAGATTTTCTAATGTTACACCATTAAGCTGTATTTCTGGCATTGGAGAGGGATTGACTGGTGATTGCTGGAAGACCACTTTGGTTGTCTCGATGTTCACTGACAGGCTGAACTTCTCATATGCTTCTGTGAAGGTGTTTAGAGGGGCTTGTAGATCTTCTGAATGCACACAGATGATGTTGTCATCAGCATATTGGAGTCCTATAACAGATGTTGTAACCTTGGGTTTGGCATAAAGTTGTGGGTGAGCCACAACTTCTTCATGCCAGGTTAACCCTGAAAAATTCCCACCAGTACTTAAAGTTTGTTATGTTGGGCAAGTTTGGGGTTCAGTTGCTCTCTGGCTGCAGGGTAAACTACAACTCCCACTAGGGTGAGTCAGTCCCCTCAAACCCCTCCAGTAGGTTGGCTTGAATATTCCATATATCCAAACATGAATTCCATGTGCCAAGTTTGGTTCAATTCCATCGTTGGTGGGGTCAGAATGCTCTTTGATTGTAGGTGAACTATAGATCCCAGTAACAACTCCCAAATGCCAAGGTCTATTTTCCCCAAACTCCATCTGTGTTCATATTTGGGTACATGGAGTATTTGTGCCAAGTTTGGTCTAGATCATTCATTGTTTGAGCCCATAGTTCTCTCTGGATGTAGGTGAACTACAACTCCCAAACTCAAGGCCAATGCCCACCAAACCCTTCTAGTGTTTTCTGTTGGTCATGGGAATCCTGTATGCCATGTTCGGTTCTATTCCATCATTGGTGGAGTTCAGAATGCTCTTTGATTGTAGGTGAACTATAAATCCCAGCAACTACAACTCCCAAATGACAAAATCATTTTTGAGTGATGGTGACTCCTTGCATTAGTAGGTGTCTTGTGGCCAAATTTGGTGGCGGATTTTGAGTTATGATGTCACTTAAAACGAACAGAGCATTTTTATATATATAGATGTATAAATATTAAAATTAATATGGAGTCCCTACTTCACGGATTTTCAGTTATTGCGAGTGGTCCTGGAACGCATCCCCCGCGATAAGTGAGGCAACACTGTAAATACATTTAAGAACTGGCATGCAAGCTAGGTTGTTGGTATTCAAGGGGTGCATTCGTTTATAGCAGTGGTTCTCAACGTTTGTAATGCCGCGACCCCTTAATACAGTTCCTCATGTTGTGGTGACCCCCAACCATAACATTATTTTCATTGCTACTTAATAATTGTAATTTTGCTCCTGTTATGAATCGTTATGTAAATATCTGATATGCTGGATGTATTCTCATTCACTGGGCCAAATTTGGCACAAATACCCAATATGCCCAAATTTGAATACTGGTGGGGTTGGGATGGGAGGATTGATTTTGTCATTTGGGAGTTGTAGTTGCTGGGATTTATAGTTCACCTACATTCAAAGAGCATTCTGAACTCCACCAACAATGGACTTGAACCAAACTTGGCACACAGAACTCCCATGATCAACAGAAAACACTGGAAGGGTTTGGTGGGCATTAACCTTGGGTTTTAGAGTTGTAGTTCGCCTACATCCAGAGATCACTGTGGACTCAAACAATGATGGATCTGGACAAAACTCTACACAATACTCAATATGCCCAAATGTGAACACTGGTGAAGTTCGGGGAAAATAGACCTTGACATTTGGGAGTTGTAGTTGCTGGGATTTATAGTTCACCTACAACCAAAGAGCATTCTGAAGCCCACCAACGATAGAATTAGGCCAAACTTCCCACACAGAACTCCCATGACCAACAGAAAATACTGTCTGTGATGGTCTTTGGTGACCCCTCTGACAACCCCCTTCAGGGGTCCCGACCCCCAGGTTGAGAACCACTGGTTTATAGGAACTCGTTTGTTGCTTCCCATTTGCGTGCCGTTAATTGGTGCCGTACAGTGCATCGTTCACAATTCGTATTCTATTAACAGGCTGCAGCAAAAAAGCTGGGCTATAAATATTTTAAAAGACATAGCCGTGTTGCCTTGCCCATGCCCAGAGTTTCAAAGCCGGGAACTGCCCGCCGAAGCACATGCCAGGGAGGTGGGCTTCTGCCCTTGCCGTTTCCTAGGAAAACATTCTGCCGTGCTCCGAGAGAACCTGCCAAGATTCCCGTTAATTATTTTTAGGGCCTTGGCTCCCTCTCCTTCCCCTCGGTGCCATTCTATTAGAAAGCAAGTAATTACCGCCCAAGGAAGATTACCACTCCGCATTAGCTGCACCGGGGAATTCCTTCGAACATTGAAATGGGTGGGTTGCACTTCACAGAGTAGCCTTAATCTTCAGGCACCCTAAGCCATCGCTGAAAGAGGCTCTCCAATGGAGTTGCGCCGGGTGCCTCGGAGTCAATGGGGGGTGGTTCTCACAGCAACGGATTCCCCCCTCCCGGCATGATAATTACGCAGTGACACATTTCCATGGCTGGGGAGGAAAGTGCTGGGCTGAAGCAGCAACAAAACCATATGGGGAAGAGCTGCTTTAGGTGCATGAACGCGCAATGGAGTGTGAGCTACATGTCCTCCTTACAGCTAGGTTTCTCACTTTAGAATCCTAGAGTTGGAAGAGACCTCATGGGCCATCCAGTCCAAATCCATTCTGCCAAGAAGCACAAAAATTGCATTCAGAGCACCCCCAACAGATGGCCATCCAGCCTCTGTTTAAAAGCTTCCAAAGAAGGAGCCTCCAACACACTCTGGGGCAGAGAGTTCCACTGCTGAACAGAGTTCCACTGCTGAATCCTGGACTCATCGCTGAGCCTGGAACCCCAGGTCTCAGAGGTGGCCGGGAAAGCTTTTGCACAACTAAAACTTGTGCACCAGTTGCGCCCGTACCTTGGGAAGTCTGATCTGGCCACAGTGGTCCACGCTCTTGTTACATCCCGAATAGACTACTGCAACGCACTCTACGTGGGGTTGCCTTTGAAGACTGTTCGGAAACTTCAACTAGTCCAGCGAGCGGCAGCCAGATTGCTCACCGGAGCGACATACAGGGAGCACACCACCCCGCTGCTATGTCAGCTCCACTGGCTGCCGGTTCAGTTCCGAGCCCAATTCAAGGTGCTGGTTTTGACCTACAAAACCCTTTACGGTTCCGGTCCAGTGTATCTGTCCGAACGTATCTCCCTCTACGTCCCACCCCGGAATTTGAGATCATCTGGGGAGGCCCTGCTCTCGACCCCACCACTATCACAAGTGAGGTTGGTGGGGACGAGGAGCAGGGCCTTCTCAGTGGTGGCCCCTCACCTGTGGAACTCATTCCCGGGGGAAATTAGGGCATCCACATCCCTCCTCTCCTTCAGGAGGAAGGTAAAGACGTGGTTGTGGGACCAGGCCTTTGGGCAATCTGACAACTAGATAAGACAATCAGACGAGTAAGACTGACAGGATGGACAATGTGGAATTGAAATTGGAACTATGAGATATGGTCCCTGTCTCTAACAAACTGGGAAAAAATAACTTGGTCACCCACATCAGATTGATAAAGAAGCCCTGATTAGGTTGTAGGTTTTTTTTCGGGCTATATGGCCATGGTCTAGAGGCATTCTCTCCTGACGTTTCGCCTGCATCTATGGCAAGCACCCTCAGAGGTAGTGAGGTCTGTTGGAACTAGGCAAAAGGGTTTATATATCTGTGGAATGACCAGGGTGAGACAAAGGACTCTTGTCTGCTGGAGCTGGGTGTGAATGTTTCAAGCCCTGATTTTTTAACATTGCACTGTTAACAAAATCAAGTGTTGGGCAAACTCACACTACAAATCCCAAATGACAAACTCCATCAGTGTTCAAATTTGGGTGTATTGGGTATTTGTGCCAAATTTGGTCCAGTGAATGAAAACACATCCTGCATATCCGATATTTAAATACAATTCATAACAGTAGCAACATTACCGTTATGAAGTAACAACATACATAATTTTAGGGTTGGGAGTCAGCACAACATGAGGAACTGTATTAAGAGTTTGCGGAATTAGGAAGGTTGAGAAACACTGCCCATATGTTGTGGCGTTCATCGTTTCCTTGTCCCGCCATCTATATTTGGTCTACATTTTCTTTTTTAACATGGCACTACTGTACTTGGAATGTTTTGCTCACCCATGGGAGTAGGTGGGCTGGAACAACTACTACGACAGCTTCCCAGAGTGTCCTTTTCCTGTTTGGAGCTACACACACACACACACATACACAAACTCCCAAGAGAAATGGGCAAATTGCTCATCCTCAGCCTACTGACAAAACAGCATGACAGTGACAAAATTCATGGCATGCCAGGTGCAGAGATCGGAGCCAAGTCATTGCGATTGCAGTAAACTGCATTTGAAAACAGTAATCTAGAACATTGGGTACCTTGTCGGCCCGTCGACAAAATTTAATTTAATTTGGAAAGCGTTTCCACAGAAACAAAATGGCGAGGGCAGGTGGTATTGGCACTGACTGTCCACTTTCCCTTTGTTCTCTGTGTACTTTTTTCCATTCAGTTGCCTGTCAGTGGGTTGTTGTAGTTTTTTCAGGCTGTATGGCCATCCTCCGAGGATGCTTGCCACAGATGCAGGCGAAACGTCAGGAGAGAATGCTTCTAGAACACTGGTTCTCAACCTTCCTAATGCTGCGACCCCTTAATACAGTTAATGCTGCGACCTCTTAATACCCCCAACCATAAAATAATTTTGTTGCCACTTCATAACGGTAATTTTTCTACTGTTCTGAATCATAATGTAAATATCTGATAGGCAGGATGTATTTTCATTCACTGGACCAAATTTAGCACAAATACCTGATACACCCAAATCTGAATACTGGTGGGGTTGGAGGGGATTGATTTTGTCATTTGGGAGTTGTAGTTGCTGGGAGTGTGTGTAGCTTCACCTCACAACCAGCAAAGCGGAGTCTCTGAACTCCAGCCAACTTGTATGAAATGAACATCCTGCTGTCATTGTACCCATTTTCTGGGCATGTCACAGAGATGTCTCGTCAGATATTGAGAGATGTGGAATGGCTGTCCAGAGGAGGGCGACTATGAGACTGACTGTGAGAGCTGTTCAGCAGTGGAACTCTCTGCCCCGGAGTGTGGTGGAGGCACCTTCTTTGGAAGCTGCCCTGGAGACTAGGATGCAATGGAGCAATGGCTTCAAACCAAAGGAAAGGAGATTCCATCTGAACAATAGGAAGAACTTTCTGACTGTGAGAGCTGTTCAGCAGTGGAACTCTCTGCCCCGGAGTGTGGTGGAGGCACCTTCTTTGGAAGCTTCCCTGGAGACTAGGACGCAATGGAGCAATGGCTTCAAACGACAAGAGAGGAGATTCCATCTGAACATGAGGAAGAACTTCCTGACTGTGAGAGCCGTTCAGCAGTGGAACTCTCTGCCCCGGAGTGTGGTGGAGGCTCCTTCTTTGGAAGCTGCCCTGGAGACTAGGATGCAATGGAGCAATGGCTTCAAACCAAAGGAAAGGAGATTCCATCTGAACAATAGGAAGAACTTTCTGACTGTGAGAGCTGTTCAGCAGTGGAACTCTCTGCCCCGGAGTGTGGTGGAGGCACCTTCTTTGGAAGCTGCCCTGGAGACGAGGATGCAATGGAGCGCTTCATTGTGATGTTGTAGGGAAACAGAGGCGGGTTGCGAGAGCTTTGATACCTATGGTATAGGGGGATATATGACCACAGTCGAAGAGGCTGTGTCTGTTGTCTGAGCGGGAATTGGCGAGCCGAGGGGTTAATGACACACAGAAAAAGCTGTAGCACGGCACGGACAATTTGGTGCGTGTGGGAGGGCAGGGTAATGTGTGACCTTGTGGCCCCGCCGGGCCGCCTCCCGCACCGTGTCGGATTGTTAGTGGTTGAGTGGTTTTTGAATCGGAACAACAGACGCAGTGGGAGAGTGTGTGGTGTTGCTGCTACTAAGTGCTGGTGTTGGTGCGCTGACAGATGGTAATTTTAGTTTGCTTTTAAGTGCAGGCCAAGGTCTTTAGGCACTGCACCCAGTGTGCCGATCACCACTGGGACCACCTTGACTGGCTTGTGCCAGAGTCTTTGCAGTTCGATCTTTAAATCCTCATAATGTGTCAGCTTTTCCAGTTGTTTCTCTTCAATCCTGCTGTCGCCTGGGATTGCAACATCAACAATCCATACTTTGTTTTTTATAATAAATAATAATAATAATAATAATAATAATAATAATAATAATAATAATTGAAACACAAGATGAGTCCACAGCAGACACTCTGCTGGCTGTTGTATTGGATCACACGTTGTACACTTCCCAAGTTATTATTATATTATTATAAAATTATTATATTATAATAATATAAGTTACTATATTATTATTATTATTATTATTATTATTATTTGCTACACGTGCTCACCCTCTCTATTTGGATCCCTACCACAGCCTTGTGAGGAAGATCAAGCTAAGATAGATGTGGTTTCCAACCTAATTAGATTATAATGCTGTTGTTGGCATCACATATATTTACGGACTCAGCCACAGGATTCAGACAAATCCCAAACAGTATAGCCATTTGCGTATTTCATTTATTTATTTCTCACCTCTGTTTGTTGTCCCAGTGCAGAATTAAACGGATGGTAGCTGCATGACCCCAGCTTTCTCCTAGTGACACAAATTCACACAAAGGAAATGACGTAAGTATTAACATGTAAATTTTCACGCTCAAAATACTACAAATATTGTGTGTCCAGACAGAACAGAGCTCTTTCTGGACACATACAAAATTGAAAAGTATTGGAGATGAGTTGTAAACCTCTTTTGGAAGCAGACAAGAACAAAACCCCTTTAAAACAGGAAATTTCCAAGCTCAAAAATAACTCCGAGCAAAAGGATGCCGGCAGAACCCTCATGAGGATGTCTCCCTCAGGTATCTCACTGAAATCATCCCCTTTAATAGAATGTATTCTACTTAAACCAGGCTTTAAAAATAGCCCCTAAACAGGCTACAGCTTGTTGGCTTCCCGGCGAGGCATTTAGCTGGCTGCTCTGGAAACAAAGCTCTGAATAGATCAATCTCTGGTCTGATCCAGCATTGCTCTCACTTTCTTAAAGGAATTGCCTCTGGTTTTGAAGTCTAAGTTCACTCTCATTTATCTATCTATTTATTTATTTATTAAGGTATTTTCTTAGCAAAATCACATTTTACAAAGCGGTTTGTTGTCGTGCCTTGAAGCATCTCCAATTCGTGGTGGACCTATCATGGGCTACGTATTGTCAAAGGCTTCCATGGCCGGAATGGCTGGGTTGCTGGAAGTTTTCTGGGCTGTATGGCCATGTACCAGAAGCCATACACATACTTTATGGCCATATACCAGGCCTGTATGGCTTCTGGTACATGGCCATACAGCCCGGAAAACTCACAAGAACACTCTCATGGGCATGATTTCTGGTCAAAAGACATTTAGCATAACGCCAAGTTTTTAACTTTGTGGGTTTTTTATACATTACTAGCTGTACCCATCAACACATTGCTGTGGCAAACCTTCCCTCTCTCTTTCTCTCCTTCCTTCCTTCCTTCCTTCCTTCCTTTCCTTCCTCTTCCTTCCTTCCTTCCTTCCTTCCTTCCTTCCCTCCTCTCCCTCTCCCTCCCTCTTTCTCCTCCTCTTTTTTCTCTCCTTCCTTCCTTCCTTCTCTTCTTCCCTCTTTCCTCTCCCTTTCTCTTCTCTTTCTTTATCTCCTTCCTTCTCTTTCCTTTCTTTCTCTCCTTCCTTCTCTCTTTCCTTCTTTCCCTCCCTCCTCCTTTCTTTCTCTCCTTCCTTCCCTCTCTTTTTTTCTTTCCTTCCTTCCCTCCCTCTTTCTCTCCTTCCTTCCTTCCTTCCTTCCTTCCTCCTTCCTTCCTCCTTCCTTCCTTCCTTCCTTCCTTCCTTCCCCCCTCCCTTCCCTTCCTTCTTTTCTCTTTCCCTCTCCTTTCTCTCCTTTTTCTCTCCTTCCATCCCTCTCTCCTTTGTTTCTTTCCTTCCTTCCCTCTAGCTTTCTCTCCTTTCAATCTCTCCTTCCTTCCTTCTCTTTCCTTACCTTTCTCTCCTCCTTTCTTGCTCTCCTTCCTTCCCTCTCTACTTTTTCTCTCCTTCCTTTCCTCCCTCCCCTCCCTCTACCTTTCCTCCTCCTTCCTTTCCTTCCCTTTCTCTCTCTTCCCTTCCTTCCCCTCTCTCCTTTGTTCTCTCCTTCCTTTCCTTTCTCCCCTCCCTCTTTCTCTCCTTTCAATCTCTCCTTCCTTCCTTCTCTTTCCTTCCCTTTCTCTCCTCCTTTCTTGCTCTCCTTCCTTCCCTCTCTCCTTTGTTTCTCTCCTTCCTTTCCTTTCCTTTCTCCCCTCCCTCTTTCTCTCCTTTCAATCTCTCCTTCCTTCCTTCCTTCCTTCCTTCCTTCCTTCCTTCCTTCCTTCCTTCCTTCCTCTCTTCCTTCCCTTTCTCTCCTCCTTTCTTTCTCTCTTCCTTCCTTCCCTTTTCCTCCTTCCTTCCCTTTTTTTCTTCCTTCTCCTCTTCTTCCTTCTCTGTCTCTTTCCTTCCTTCCCTCCCTCCTTTTCTTTCCCTTTCTCTTTCTCCCCTTCCTTCCTTCACCTTTTCTTGGAGTGCAACTCCCAGCAGTCCTCCTGATCGATCTACCCACCTATCTATCTCCATCTTATCTATCTATCTGGGAGTTGCAATCCAGGAATAAGGAATTGGAAATATGCAGGAATTGGGATGCTCTCAAAGAAATCCAAGGAGAAGAAAGCTTGCATCTTGGAAGCAGTGCATTTGGATCACCCTCCTCTCGTAAAGGGCCTGGCCTAGGGGATGCTGGGAGCTGTACTTCGGAAGAGAGTGTGGATATGCTATTGTCTGTTTTGTTTTCCAGGGGGAGTCATTTTGGCGCATGTGTTGTAGCATCTTTTTGCTTTTTTTGCTTTTAAAGTCCCTTCCGCTGTGTTTTTCAGTGTTTTTTATGAGTGATGGTCACTTGTTGGCCTGATAGGTGTATTGTGTCCAAATTTGGTGTCAATTCGCCTATTGGTTTTTGAGTTACGTTAATCCCACTAACGAACATTACATTTTTATTTATATACTAGCTGTCTCCTGCCATCCGTTGCTGTGGCCTACTCTGTATATATGTGTTTTGTGTGTATATATATTTGTGTATATGTGTGTTTGTATATACGAGGGGTATTTTTTAAGTAAGGTCAGTTTGTTGTAGACACTAGTATTTTGTGCGCATACTGCAACGAGCGCGTGCATCGTGTACCGACATGCCTCGGGAACAACTGTGCTCAGTTTCCGCTCTCTAGCTAACCTTTACGGTTCTGTCCTGTGCTTTAAAAATGTTTAAGACTATCAACTCACCCTCCGCATGTGAGGTTCGCTCAGTGATACGGTTTTTGTCAGCAAGGAACCTGCCTGCTGCAGAAATTCATCGACAGATTTGTGAAGTGTACGGTGACACTGCTATGAGTGAAAGCAAAGTGTGTAAGTGGGTACGACAATTCAAAGATGGCCGTGACAACATCCATGATGAGGACCGCTCCGGTCACCCTTCTTTGATTACAGTGAACTCTTGGTTATCGGAGCAGGCGGCAAGTTTTTATGAAGAGGGTATTTTAAAATTGGTTCAGAGGTATGATAAGTGTTTGAACAAACTTGGCAACAATGTCGAAAAATAGTGAAGTATGTACTTTCTTAAAATAAATTTACTTTTTTGAAATAAACTTTCGTTGTGTACTTATGTTCAAACGGACCTTACTTAAAAAAATACCCCTCGTATATGCATGTGACTTTGTGCATTCATTGTAATGTATTTTCTGTTTTTTGGCTTTTTAAGTCTCTTCTACTGTGTTTTTCAGTGTTTTTATAAGTGATGGTCACTCGTTGGGAAGTTTGCCCCAATTCTTTCGTTGGTGAGGTTCAGAATGCTCTTTGATTGTAGGTGAACTATAAATCCCAGTAACTACAACTCCCAAATGTCAAGGTCTATTTTCCCCAAACTCCATCTGTGTTCATATTTGGGCGTATTGAGTGCTTCTGCCAAGTTTGGTCCAGATCCATCATTGTTTGAGTCCACAGTGCTCTCTGGATGTAGGTGAACCACAACTCCCAAACTCAAGGTCAATGCCCACCAAACCCTTCCAGTGTGTTCTGTTGGTCATGGAAGTCCTGTATGCCATGTTTGGTTCAATTCCATCATTGGTGGAGTTCAGAATGCTCTTTGATTGTAAGTGAACACAGTATTTTCTCTTGGTCATCTGGGTTACGTGTGAAAAGTTAGGTCCAATTTTATTGTTGGTGGGGTTCAGAATGCTCTTTGATTGTAGGTGAACTATAAATCCCAGCAACTACAACACCCAAATGTCAATGTCTATTTCTCTTAAACTCCATCTGTGCTCATATTTGGGCATATGGAATATTCGTGCCAAGTTTGTTCCAGATCCATCATTGTTTGAGTCCATGGTTCTCTCTGGATGTAGGTGAACTACAACTCCCAAACTCAAGGTCAGTGCCCACCAAACCCTCCTAGTGTTTTCTGTTGGTCATGGGAGTCCCGTATGCCAAGCTTGGTTCAATTCCATCGTTGGTGGGGTTCAGAATGTTCTTTGATTGTAGGTGAACTATAAATCCCAGCAACTACAACTCCCAAATGACAAAATCCTAATTTTTTGAGTGAAGGACATACATTGGGTTGTTAGGTGTCTTGTGTCCAAATTTGGTGTCAATTCCCCCAGTGGTTTTTGAGTTCATTTAACCCCACAAACTAACATTATATTTTTATTTATAAATAGATAACTGTATTCTCAATTTGCTTCTGACATGATAAATAACTTCTGTGTGGTGTTAGTTTTTAAGGATGTTTGGTCTAACTGTTGTAAGGCGCCTTGTTTATAAATAAACACATCAGCAACCACAGGACTGGAAGGTCTCTCCTCCCTTGAAAGCATCAGTGGTAGCGGGGCTTTGAGGGAAACGTAATCCCATGATTTTAGCTCATGCCTGACGGTGTCATTTGACTTCTAGACAGATTTATTGAGCTCATCTCTCAGCCCCATTCTAGCCGTTCCCCTTTCCGTCAGAAGATGGACTGGGTTTTCAAAGCAGCCGTTTAAAGGAACTGCGGCGAGCTGCTCCCACTTGCCGCCAGACAGCTCCAGCATCACAAAAACGGGCGCATCTGTCAAGCTGCCGGCAGGCGCCCCACCGCTCCGCTCCCTCCGCCGCTTCCTCGGCATAGGCAGCACAAGGGAAAGACTCTCCCTGCAAAGCAAGGAAATGTTTAGTACCCCAGGGCCTTTGCCCGCTCTCGTCACATCAATTTGAGATGCATACAATCATAGAGTTGGGCCATCCAGTCCATCCCCATTCTTCCAAGAAGCAGGAAAATTGCATTCAAAGCATCCCCGAGAGAGCGCCATCCAACCTGTGTTTCAAAGCTTCCAAAGAAGGAGCCTCTACCACACTCCAGGGCAGAGAGTTCCACTACTGAACAGCTCTCACAGTCAGGAAGTTCTTCCTAATGTTCAGATGGAACTTTTTGGGCAAGGTGCTGGAGTGGGTGGTCGCCTCCCAGCTCCAGGGTTTTCTAGATGACATCAACTACCTAGATCAGTCACAGACTGGTTTCAGGCCTGGCCACGGCAC